TGGCTGTGACTGTTCCTATGCCAAATGCTTCTCATGCAAATAAGAGGCTCTACCAGAAGGCAATAAATCACTGTGCTTCAGTTGCGCCACCCTTACCGAAAGATGCCACATAAACTGTTTCTAATGCTTCTTGAGTCTTATTCTGTTTGTGATTGAACGAAGGGTACCAGATCAACAGTGCAAAACTCCAGCCAACCACTAGATGGCAGCAAAGAAATAAAGAAAATGGACTCTTTGCCCCCATCTAATGTCTGTCCAAATATTTTCAAGATCTAGTAGCTCTAATTGAGCTGGACTTTGTTTGTTTGTTTATTTGTTTGTTTGTTTGTTTGTTTGTTTGTTTTATATGCTGAGCACCTCACTGTCAGATGATTCTGTGTTATTATTCTGGGTTTCTCTTACTTGAGAAGTTTCATCAATGTTCTGCTGCTATTGGATGCTCCTTTTGGATGGTATGTTTTTCTTTTACTTTAACATATATTCAAATGATTTATATGTTGCTTTTACGTACAAAATATATGATATCTCCTAATCTGTGACCATCCAAATTTTGCTGAATTGTAACACCAGGTATTTATTTCCGTTGGCTATGTGATGAGTCTTACTGAGAGCAGTAGCTGAGCAACATTTGAAAAGTCTCAAGTGCTACATTTCCTTTGATCTTTCTCCATCACAAGCAGGAGAAGGTGCAAGCAAGGAGCCTCTGATGCCATATAAGCTGTTAAGGTGGTTTAAGCTATGACTTTCTTTTCTTAAAGCCAAAAATACAGGCAAATCTGAAGCTGAAAAGCCCTGCTCCCACAACCGATGAGGAAGGGAGAGAGAGATGGGCTTCCTACAAACTTCCAAAACACAGCAAGGCTTCCTCTAGTTGTCATTTACCATTACACCATGATACAACAATTTGACTACCACACACACACACAAACACACAAAACCCACTAGACCCCAATACAAAGATGAGATTCTATGGTTACGTGCATAAGCAAAACTCATGATTCATGGAATGGCATCTCTGCTCTGGAAGGAGCTTCCTTCCTGTCTGAAACCATCTAGTCCAGAGGTTCTCAACCTTGGCAACTTTAAGACTTGTGGACTTCAACTCCCAGAATTCCTCAGCCAGCTTTGCTGGCTGAGGAATTCTGGGAGTTGAAGTCCGCAAGTTTTAAAGTTGCCAAGGTTGAGAACCCCTGATCTAGTCCATCATATGAGATGGAATTTTTATCCGGCCTTGGACCAAATTTGGGTCCCCATTTCTACTCTAGTCTGAAGGCCTAGTTCGGCCTCCCCAGATCTAGTCTCCTAGGATAGCAGGATAACCAGTTGAACAGGAAGAAGACTTCAACATTCAACTCCATTGCCATGACAAGTGATGGGTCTCTTTCAGTGAATGTGAGGAAGTCAACAGCCAAGTATTTGGGTTGGACTTGATAGCCTCAGTGATTGCTTCCCACATTTTGAGTCTATGATTTTAACATAGCACATTGTTGAAGTCTAGTCTGGATTTCACTCCCTTTTCTCTATTCTGATTCTGTTCCTACTGTGTTTCCCCCAAAATAAGGCCTACCCCGAAAATAAGCCCTAGCTTGATTTTGGGGGGTAGGCCTAATATAAGCCCTACCCCAAAAATAAGCCCCAGTTTGGTGGCAAGGCACACACCTAAAAATCAATAGGGTGGGGGTGGGGTATGTATCTGCCCCACACACCCCACACCCACTCACCTTGCAGCCAGGCCTCTCTTCACCGGCCCACTTCTTTTGTGGCATCTTCTGCAGCCAGGCCTGCATTTCTCAGTCACGGGGCTTCCAAAAAAGCCTGACTGCAAAATGCAGACTGGAATGCAGCTGCAGAATGAAGCTGCTCCTTCGGCCCCAGAAGAAGTGGACTTGCTGGGCGGGGTTGTCAGTGCTGGAGGTGAGTAAGACATCCCCTCAAAATAAGACCTGGTGCCTTTTTTGGAGGCCAAATAAATAAATAAATAAGACTCGGTCTTATTTTTGGGGAAACACGGTAAGAGCCGTGGTGGTGCAGTGGTTAAATTACAGTATTGCAGGCTACTTCTGCTGACTATCGGCTGCCAGCAGTTTGGCAGTTCGATCCTGACTGGATCAAGATGGACTCAGCCTTCCATCCTTCCAAGGTCAGTAAAAATGAGGACCCAGATTGTTGGGGGGAAAAATACTGACTCTGTAAACTGCTTAGAGAGGGCTGTAAAGCACTGTGAAGCGGTATATAGGTCTAACTGCTATTGCTATGATATCCTGCTTCTGTGTACATATCCAAATCTTTTAGCTGCTTTGTCTTTAAACCTTGGTCAATTTTTACGGTGTATCTGCTACACGAGCTTTAGTTCTTGTTTAGTGCTCTTAATTTGGACAGTCTGGTTTAACTTCTCATCCTTGCTAACTAGTGGTGGGATTCAAATACAAGCAATTCTCTGTGTGGATGCTGCTTCCAGAAGTCCATTCTGGGCCTGGGCCACAAAAAATTAGCTACCGGTTTTGCCGAAGTGATGCGAACCGGCTGAATCCCACCACTATTGCTAACCTCAGCAGCCTTAATCTCTTTTGCCTCGACAGCCTTAGCTGTTATCTGAAACCCGGCTTCATCCATCTCTAACCACAAAACCAAGCCTTCTATTGAAATATGTGTATGTTGTTGTTTTTTTTAAAAAAAATACTGCCAGCAAATAGAGACCACTTTCCCCCACACCCCAGTCTGCTGCTCTCCATAAATATATTGTGGTGCCATTGGTGATTCATTAATTGGCAAACACTGGGTTGCTAGAAGAATGCAGGAAATGTTGGGGGTTTTTTTGTTGTTGTTCTTGTTCAACAAGTTTTTGAGAACTTCTTGTACTTTGTTGTAAGGCTTCACTAGAGAATGATTCCCTGATCTCATTTTTAACTTAAATAGGCAACATGGAGAACTAACAGGACTGGTAACGTACTGTTCAAGATTCTAATTATTCCATGTTATATGTTCCCCTGAACATTTTCCATTCCCACCCGAAATAATTTTGGAGCCATTGAGCAAATGAAAATCTCTATTAGGCTATTTTGGGATAATAAATCCTTCTCCCATTTTTTTTTAAAGAACCTTAAAGTTGGAAAGTTACTCAGAGGTCAACTAGTCCACCTCTGCTCACTGCGGGATCTGCTAAATGATCTTAGAGAGCTTTTCTTTGAAGACCTTGCAAACTCATGAAAGAACCTGTTCCCATGGTTGACAACAAGTACTGATTGATTGACTCCTGCTAAAAACTAGCCAGAACCTAATTCTCTATACTTTCAAGATATTGTCTCTGGAGTGATAGAGAACAAGTCATTCCCCTCTCTAAATGATACTCTTTAGTTTGTTATATAAACCCCACTTCCCTCCTTGTTCCCTGCTTCCTTAATACCCATCGTTTATTCTTATATTGCTATATTTTCATTGTTTATTCTATTTTTCCATTACTTCCTACTGTTGTTTACACTTCTTTTCCTTTCTCCATTTTTATTGCTGTAAGCTGCCTCAAGTAGCTCCAGGGCGAAATAGGCAGCAAATAAATTTAATAAACAAATATCTCCTCTAACTTGTCTTTTCTGTAGACCAACCTATCCAGATTTTTTCCATGTTACAGGCCATAGTGTCCAGAACCATCACCCCCTTATGGCATCCTCTAAACTCATTCCAGTTTATCAATGACCGTTTATAGGCAATCGTGACCAGAACTGCACTCAGTATTCCAATTGGGGCCTGAATAGAGTGCACAATTACATCCCGTAATTTGACCTCTATACATCCCACATTACAAATCCACAAATAGCATTCACCTTTTTAGCAACTGCATAATTCTTTTTCAAGTTTAACTAGTGACCTCCTAGAATTTCCAGGTTCTTTTCACAAGTGCTGCTACCAAGCCAGTTCCCCACCAGTCTTCCAATCCTACAGTTGTGTCTTTTGTGTTTCTCCCAAGACTTGCATTTCTTAGAATTTGTCTTGTTTCAGACCCCTGTTCAAAACTTTAAAAAAATCTTCCCTTTCTCTTTTGAAATGTTAGCTTCTCTTTATTCCATTAATCTATTAAGATTTGGGCAGTGGTAGGATTTCTTTCTTTCTTTCTTCCTTTCTTTCTTTCTTTCTTTCTTTCTTTCTTTCTTTCTTTCTTTCTTTCTTTCTTTCTTTCTTTCTCTTTCTTTCTTTTAACTTCCCGCCCCTTCTGATTTTTTTTTCCCTTCCAGTTTAGTTCACATTAGTTTTTACTCTGTTTACCAAACATTGCATTAAAATTATTGCTTAAAAAAATTAATCTTTTATCAAAGGTGATGGTCAGCATTATGAGAGCCTCTAGTGAAATCTGGGCGTGGAGAATTACTCCTTATCACACAAGGTTTTTCAATAATGTATTTATGTTACATCGGTGAGGTAGAATACATAGTAATGTGCCATTTAAAATGGACTGCTGATCTTTTTGAGAATGCAGAAATGGCTACTACCTCTATCATGGTTAAAATATATGATAGAACCTACATTGTTACAATAGTATTGAATACTAATGATATGTAGATAATCATCAACCTACACAAAACACCTGTAAATGCAGAATGATACGTACCAATAAATATAACATACAGTCAACATTTAACTAAGGAAAAAGAGTGCCATTCTGAAGAAAAGGTAATTCTGTCATTTGGAACAGTTAAAAATAACATTTTCTGCTTTATCAGCCGACCCCCAGTATTCTACTACAATTTTTCTCTCTCTATCTCTACAAGTTGAGACCCGAGAAACGCACATTATAAAACGTTGCCATTTCTGCTCATCGTTTTAAGCTCACAGTATCTCCTGAGCAGCATCTGGCATCAGTTGGTATTTCTCACAGGAAACCAGCACTTGTAAATAAAATCTGACATATAAATATTTCATGATTTTTTGGCATCCAGACAGAAGGTCTTCTGGGATTAGAGCTGAGAGAGATTTCAAGGGAATAGGCAGTTGGAAACGTTCCTTTCCATCGGATGGAAGTCAAGATGATCTTGTCCTGAAGTCAAACGCTATTAGTGACATAAAATGTTGACAGTGTGATGAAGACCTTGAAGCCAAAGAATGGAATGGGACTGTTTGTTTATTTGTTTGGGATGGGACTGTTTGTTCGGCTTGAAAATAATTGCTTGAGGTAAGAGCAAAGGATTGTCCAGGCTGCATTTCGATCTGAGCAGAAAAAGAAGGAAGGAAGGGAGGGAGGGAGGGAGGGAGGGAGGGAGGGAGGGAAGAAGGAAGGAAGGGAGGGAGGAAGGAAGGAAGGAAGGAAGGAAGGAAGGAAGGAAGGAAGGAAGGAAGGAAGGAAGGAAGGAAGGAAGGAAGTTGATTTGCTCCTATGATTCTCTTGTCCTTTTTGAATCAGGGGTGTTTTTTTGTTTAAACTAAACTTAATAGGTTTTATGAAATAGAGCTTTTAGATAGCTATGACCTACTTTGTTTGTTTGAGAACAAACATCATTTTGTTGCAGAGGAAAATCCTCTATTTTAAAAATTAAACCATGACGTGAACATCTGTCACTAGGTACATAGCCAGTTTCCCTCTTCCTGACGACTCTAAAATATGTTCAAAGCAATAATTAAAGTTTTGGTGAACTCTCTGAGAGTTCTAGCAGGAGTCAGTGAGAGGGGTCAAAATTGGCAAAAGGGCAATTGGGCCCTTTCAGCTGGAGCCCTGCCCTCACTCTAAAGTTTCCAGACGATGGTGATTGTAAACATCCAGGCAGGTAAAGTAGGCAAGATAGAAATTGGCCATTTCCAGGCTAGAAATCAATGTTATATCAAACATTCAACAACTTTTGACAGTTGAAAGCTACCAAACATCTCAACACGTTTCCATCAAATGTGTAGGGCAGGTGGAATAAACCTTGAATCTGAACTGATGACAGAATAAAAAAATCCTTTATATTCTGGCATCAGAAATAGACATAATAACAGAATAACAGAGTTGGAAGGGATCTTGGAAGCAGTGGTGGGATTCAGCCAGTTCACGCCACTTTGGCAGAACCGGTAGCTAATTTTTTGTTGCCCAGGCCCAGAATGGACTTCCGGAAGCAGCATCCACACAGAGAACTGGTTGTTCACATATTTGAATCCCACCACTGGGCCCTGCCCAAAAATGGGGATCACATAACCCCGGGACACTACAACCATCACAAATATGAACCGGTTGCCAAGCATCTGAACTTTGATCACGTGACCATGGCGATGCTGCAATGGTCATAAGTGTCGTGGGAAGAATCCAGAGAAAGAAATATTTGGGGGGGGAATATTAAATATTAAAAAGGCAGAATATATTTCCCCAAAGGAATAATGGAGAAGATCTTAAAAAAAAAAAGATAAAAACCAGCCGCGAGCAGAAACTAGGCCAGACATGTCAAACACAAGGTCCGGGGGCCGGATGCGGCCCACAAAGTGGTTTCATGTAGCCCCCGAAGCCATCCTGGAAACAGTGAGGGAACGGCCCCCTCTGCCTTGGCCCTGGCCCAGGCCAGCTGGGAGCCAATATACAATTTTGTGGTGGCCATCTATGCTGAAACACATTCAGTCTTAGCTCCATAAGCCCTACCCCTGCATGGTCTGAGAGGAACAGTGAGGCTCCTCCAGTGGACCATGCCTTGGTACTTGCACTGGTCCCACCCCCTTCTGCCAGAGACCCTCAGATCTATCCCACTCCTGCCCAGGCCCCCACAGGCACCCTTGACGCGAATGATGTAGAGCTGGCCACATCCACTCCATCCATGCCCACCCACTAGGCCGCATCCACCCTGGCCACACCCACCTGGTCCCCTGAGGGCAACCGCAGTGCTGATGTGGCCCTCAGTGAAATTGAGTTTGACACCCCTGAACTAGGCAGAAGCCAGCTTTTAGAAATGCAGATGTGATAATCCTTTCAGGAAGGTTGGAGTCAGGAAGCTAGAAGCTGACGAGATTAGAAAGACAAAGATCCCTAGAATCAACAACCCCTTGCCCAAGAAATCCAACATAGGAAGTAAGCCATCAGCCACAGCCCCAGAGAAGCAGAATGTTCCTTTGTGAACGGGGAAAACCAAAAATAGCAAAGAGGGCCCACAGATTGCTTATAGCTTTCCAGCCTCAGTGGAAACTACCTGGTGTTAAATCTTTCCCAAGTGAAACCCTTAACCAAAACCTGTGACAGTTGCTTGGACCACATTCCCGGCACTCTTGTAAAGTCAAAGCTGGTCTGAAAATGGGAGACTTAAGCTGGATGTGGGTGTCAGTCAGAAACCTTCATCTCAGCTTTTCTTGAACCATCATACATTCTTGAAAATGCAGAGACCTTATAGATTATGTAGGGGTGGAGAAGGAGAGAAGAAGCTTTTGAACACCATTACTTGCTTGGAGGACAAGTAGTCCTTGACATAACGACCACAAACCCAAGTGAGACAATTGTTCAGTGAGTTTTGGCTTATTTTACAACCTTTCTGGCCACAGCTGTTAATAGAATCACTGCAGTCGTTAAGTTCATAACCTGGTTGTAAAGTGAATCTGGCTTCTCCCTCCCTCCAAATTGAGGCAGCTGGGTTCTGATTTCCAACTTTGTCCAAAGGGATTAATATTTTAACTGTAATGGTGAGATATTAAGACCATTTGTAATTTCTTAAGCCCTTGTCAAAAGGGGATTCAGGGTAGAGTTAAAAACAATGTGCGTATATATGTAATGGATGACGTGTAAGCATTTAACATGTGATCCCAACTGTGGAAGATATATGTCACTTCTGAAACCAAAAACCCTCACCCAGGGTTTAAACAAGAGATGAATGCCAGCCACAAGATTCAAGTCAAATCTGGATGTCAGTTTGTCCCTATCTAATTTCCTACTGGCGCTCTAGAATGAACTTATTCTCATTCAAAATTCAAATGCTTGGCAACTGGCATGTATTTACGACGGTTTCAGCATCCCTGGATCATGTGATCACCACTTTCGACTTTCCCCACTGACCTCCCACAAGCAAAGTCAGTGGGAGAAGCTGAATTCATTTAACAACCACATGATTCAACAGCCGCAATATTTCACTTAAAAGTTTCAAAGAATATGATCCACTATAGTCTGTTCCTTACGGCTGTGCTAATGTGTGCTAATGTGTATTTTTCCTGTCCCGAGTCAGCAAATATATATATATATATATTTTTAGGTTTTGCTAACAAAGAATAAAGAGAGAATGGTATAGCTATTTCGGGTTCCTTTAACCCTCATCAGCCAAACTTACTCTTCTGAGATTCGAACCTGGGCTATCTGCATGTTAGGCAGATGTTATAACCTCTAAGCCACGGGTTCTCTCCCACTTTGTTAGCTACCAGGAGAGAGACAGGGGGAGGAGATATTTACCTTGAATGAACACCCTGTCAGCCCAGATATGGGAGAAAGAAATCTTCTTTCTTTTCTTTTCTTTTGCCTGTATCAGCTCAATCTAGAGCCATCCACAAGCAGCAGTCACTAACTGCGACATCATTTTTACATTGTTAGGTTTTTAGGTTTTGCTAACAAAGAATAAAGAGAGAATGGTATAGCTATTTCGGGTTCCTTTAACCCTCATCAGCCAAACTTACTCTTCTGAGATTCGACCCTGGGCTATCTGCATGTTAGGCAGATGTTATAACCTCTAAGCCACGGGTTCTCTCCCACTTTGTTAGCTACCAGGAGAGAGACAGGGGGAGGAGAGAACCCGTGGCTTAGAGGTTATAACATCTGCCTAACATGCAGATAGCCCAGGTTCGAATCTCAGAAGAGTAAGTTTGGCTGATGAGGGTTAAAGGAACCCGAAATAGCTATACCATTCTCTCTTTATTCTTTGTTAGCAAAACCTAAAACCTAAAAATATATATGTATGTATGTACGTATGTATATATGTATGTATCTATGTGTATATATATGTATGTATGTGTGTGTGTATGTGCATGTGTGTGTGTATATATATATATATACACACATATATATATATATATATATATATATATATATATATATATATATATATATATATTCGCGTTTAAGAAATTTAAAAACATGAACCCTGGGAATATTCATAGTAAGAAATAAAATGATCACCAGGGTAATAAAAACCATAAAATTTAATAAAAAGCGCCTAGCTTTCGCCGTCACCTGCCGGCATCCTCAGGGCTAGTGCGCCAGAGAGTGAGAGAGTCACTTTTATAGGTGCAACAAAGTCTGCGCACGACTCCTCGATCTCGTCATCGGGCCTAATTGGGATAACTGCGCACGGCTGGTCTGTTCCTTTCTATTCCTTTTAATTGCATGTTCATCCTCCTCCATCCTTCTTTCTCTCAGTCCTAGGGTGGATGAGCAGATGCCTCTGCAATTACAATGGTCTCTATGTTTTAATCCTTCTCCCCCGGGATCAGGTGGCAATACACATTCCATGTTTGTTTTGCGATCCTCCTTCGTCCCATTGTCCTTCTTATGACAAGTTTTTCCTTTAGTTTTGGTGTTTTCACTGTTTATATGAATGTCATCTGAGTGGACCCGTAGGTCCTTTCGAGGTGGCTGTGATCTACTGCTGGTCTGGGGCTGGAGGAAGAGCCGTTCAATCACGGAGGAGGGGGGGGGGAAGAACGACAACTCCCCAACCACCCCTGCATCCGTTCGTCTCGCGCGCACCGCATAGTCAGACAGGCCGGGGGGAGCAGCGGCGGAATCATGTCCTCGCTCTTCCCCCTGGGGCAAGCGCCGTTCAGACAGTCCCACAGACCCCTCCCAGGTGAGCGTAGCTCGTCGATGGTCCGGAACCAGAGGATAGACCGCTCGATCATGAATGGAAGGGGGCGGCGGTTCCCCGTTCGTCACTGCACTCAGCTGTCTCGCGCGTCCCCTGCTGCGGGTGATCGGTCCGGGGAGCGGGGTAATGATGGGATTACGTTCTATACGATCCTCACAGCGTCTCTCCTCGGTCTGTCTCCTCTCTCTTGTGTCGTCGGTAGCCATGCAAGTTCTCCGGAATGTTCCGGGGTGCGCAAGTGGGGGGCATGAAAGTTCGATTTCCTGCGTTTTTTCTCCTTCTCCAATGTTATTCAAGGGTCCACCTCCGATCGTACTCTGCAATTCTCTCCCCCCCAGACCGATCATCCCAGTCTGGCGGGGGGATCTCTCCTTTCCTT